GGAAGGGGGCTGGCCCCGCCGAACGGTAATGAGCGGCGTGACAGGGACAGGGATGACATGTCACCCCCACCCTGTGTCCCCCGCGCAGCCGGGCCCCCCAGGGGACACCGGGCAGTGCCCAGCTGGGCTGGGAAGTGCTGGCACATCCCCAGGGCTACCAGCCAGGCCCTGGGGACACCTGGTCAGCTGGCCACCCAACCGGCCAGCTAGCCACCCAGCCAGCCAACCAACCAGCCAGTCAGCCAGCTAGGCAGTCAACTAGCCACCCAGCCAGCCACCCAGCCAGCCAACCAGCCAGCCAACCAGCCAGCTAGCCAGTCAGCCAGCCAACCAGCTAGCCAGCCAACCAGCCAGCTAGGCAGTCAACTAGCCACCTGGCCAGCTAGCCAACCAGCCAGGAGCCAGCCAACCCACCACCTGTCATCTAGCAAACCAACCAACCAACTAGTTGGCCAACCAACTAGCCCACTGCCAGCTAGTCAATCAGCTACTAACCACCCAGCCAACCAGCCAGCCAGCCCTGTGGCCACCCAGGCAACCAAGTGGCCAGCTCTCCAGCTGGTCCTGGGCCCAGGTTGTCCCCAGCTGGACACCAGCAGGTGGGGGTGGCTCCTGCCAGGATCATCTCCCCGGGAAGGTCCGTGGGGCCTCTCCCTGCTCCTGTGCTGATCCCACATCTCCCCCCTGCCCCACAGCCAGTGGTCAGGGTGTCCCTTCTCGGGGATGGAGGTGACACAGGTCTGGAGCCTGCAGGCCCAGGGGGGCTGGTGGCCTCTTGTGGAACCTGGGGATGCAGGGGACAGCCTGGTCTTTGTTCTCCTGGGGTGGCTGGAGGGATGGATGGATGGATGGATGGATGGATGGATGGATGGATGGATGGATGGATGGATGGATGGATGGAGGGATGGAGGGATGGAGGGATGGATGGATGGAGGGATGGAGGGATGGATGGATGGATGGAGGGATGGAGGGATGGAGGGATGGAGGGATGGATGGATGGAGGGATGGATGGAGGGATGGTTGGATGGAGGGATGGAGGGATGGATGGAGGGATGGAGGGATGGATGGATGGAGGGATGGATGGAGGGATGGATGGAGGGATGGAGGGATGGATGGAGGGATGGATGGAGGGATGGATGGAGGGATGGATGGACAGACAGACTCAGAGCCAGATCTGACCCTGCTGGAGGGGCAGCAGAGGCAGCCCCAGGTGGTTGCTCAGGTGGTCTCACCACCTCCCCAGGGGTCCAGCCCAGGCTCCCCCCGCCCCAGCTTGTCCTGCCCTCCCGGGCCCATCCTGGGGACACTGCGTGGTTTAGGGGGACAGGAGCCAGCACAGCTGGGGACGTGCTGCCACCTCCTGTCCCCTCCCAGCGGTGTTTCTGTCCCCGAGTCCTCCTGGCACAGAGCGACCCGCGCCCACCCTTTGGGGGGGGCTATGGGGACAGGAGGGCGCAGCGCTCCCGTCCCTGTCACACGTGCCCCGAGGGCAGGGAGGGGACACTGGGGACACTGGGGACATGCCACCCCCGGGCCCTGCCCCGAGCCCGCTGAGCGACCTCCGGAGGGGCGGGGGGACACGGGACGCAGACACCGCCCCCCGGCCCTGCGGCGCCCCCCGACACCACCGCTGGTGTCCCCGCGGTGTCACCCCCCAGCGCGACAGGCGGGGAGGGACCAGTGCCACCAGTGCTACCACTGCCACCAGTGCCACCAGTGCCACCAGTGCCACCAATGTCACCAGTGCCACCAGTGCTACCACTGCCACCAGTGCCACCAGTGCCACCAGTGCCACCAATGTCACCAGTGCCACCAGTGCTACCACTGCCACCAGTGCCACCAGTGCCACCAGTGCCACCAATGTCACCAGTGCCACCAGTGCTACCACTGCCACCAGTGCCACCAGTGCCACCAGTGCCACCAATGTCACCAGTGCCACCAGTGCTACCACTGCCACCAGTGCCACCAGTGCCACCAGTGCCACCAATGTCACCAGTGCCACCAGTGCTACCACTGCCACCAGTGCCACCAGTGCCACCAGTGCCACCAATGTCACCAGTGCCACCAGTGCTACCACTGCCACCAGTGCCACCAGTGCCACCAGTGCCACCAATGTCACCAGTGCCACCAGTGCTACCACTGCCACCAGTGCCACCAGTGCCACCAGTGCCACCAATGTCACCAGTGCCACCAGTGCTACCACTGCCACCAGTGCCACCAGTGCCACCAGTGCCACCAATGTCACCAGTGCCACCAGTGCTACCACTGCCACCAGTGCCACCAGTGCCACCAGTGCCACCAATGTCACCAGTGCCACCAGTGCTACCACTGCCACCAGTGCCACCAGTGCCACCAGTGCCACAGCCACTGTTGCCAGCGCTGCCCCTGCAGCCACCACAGCCACTGCTGTCACCCCCCAGCTTTGTCCCTTTCCCACCCGTGGGCTCACAAACTTGTCCCTTCAGAGGCCACCACTTGGTTGCCCATCCCTGGGTGGATGGAGCCACCCTGGGGGGCTGTGCCCTGTCCCCGTGCAGGAGGTGGTGACAGGGACAAGGAGCACCCAGGGGCCTCCAGCCAGGGTCACCTGGGTGTTGTCCCCATCCGTAGGTGCTGCTGCCCCAGGTGGCTTCAAGGCCACCCTGGCTCTGCAGGGCCACAGCCTGGGGACACGGTGGGCAGAGCTGGTGGCCGTGGCGTGGAGACACGGTGACCTG